TCTTCAAGGCGCGTTACGTGGCTCGAGGCTTCAGTCAGTAGCAGGAAGTTGACTACTTTCAGACCTTCTCTCCCACCCCAAAGATGACCACTCTTTGGGTGCTGCTGCACATAGCCGCTCAGCGCGACTACGAGCTTCACTCTCGTGACTTCAGCACAGCTTTCCTACAGGACAGCTTGCATGAGGAGATCTCGCTGCGCCGCCCACCTGGTTTCACTGGGTTGTTTCCTCCTGGTACCCAATGGAGCCTCCTGCGGCTAGTCTACCGTCTCCGCCAGGCACCCCGTAAGCGGCAGGACACACTGAGGACTACACTTGCGGCTCTTGGGTTTGCTCCTTCTACAGCCGACTTGACGCTCTTTCTGCGCACCGACACCCCTTTGCCGCCGTTCTACATCCTTGTGTACGTCGACGACTTGGTCTTTGCCACTGCTGACACTACTGGACTCGCCCACGTAAAGTCTGAGCTGCAGAAGAGACACACGTGCACTGACCTGGGTGAACTGCGCAGCTACCTTGGCTTGCAGATCACCCACGACAGAGCATATCGCACCATTACTTTGACTCTGTCACACATGGTGCAGCAGGTCCTTCAGCGCTTTGACTTCACGTACTCCTCGCCTCAGGCCACTCCTCTGTCTACTCGCCACTCGCTCTCAGCTCTGCCCTCGGATGAGTCCGTAGAGCCGAGTGGCTTGTACCCACAGCTTGTTGGCTGCCTCATGTACCTGATGACCTGCATACGACCTGACCTTGCACACCCTCTTAGCATCTTGGCATGCTATGTTCCTCGTGGGAGACACCGACCAGAGCACATGGCTGCAGCAAAGAGGATGTTGAGCTACTTGTGGAGTACGTCGGGCATGGGGCTAGTGCTTGGAGGGCGACGTTGAGTGGTCCTCACAGCTCACGCAGACGTTTCTTGGGTTGACGACCAGGCTATGCAGCGGTCGTCACAGGGTTACACCTTCAGCCTTGGTTCCGGCTCTGTTTCGTGGCGGTCTACCCGCTCGTCTTCTGTTCTTGGCTCCAGCTGTGAGGCTGAGATCTACGCTAGGGCCATGGCTGCACAAGAGCTATGCTGGCTCACCTACGTGCTGATCGACCTAGGAGAGCCGCCTCTTTCTCCTCCAGTTTTGTACGTAGACAACAAGGCCATGCTGGCCTTGTGTCGGGAGCACAGACTGGAGCACAGAACGAAGCACATTGCTCTTCGCTACTTCCTTGCTCGTGAGCTGCAGCAGTGTGGTCAGCTACGCCTTGCGTACGTGGCCTCTGAGGCCAACACTGCTGATATCTTTACCAAGGCACTTCCGCCTTGTGATCATCAGCGCTTCTGTATGATGCTAGGTCTTGTGCCTACTTGGCCTCACTTGCTCAGTTCTTGACCTTGCTTGTATTGTGATCTTTCTATACCTGCACTTGCTTGTTTACCTTTGTATATGATCTTGCATGTGAACTGGCCTTGTAGCCTTGATTGTGTGCTCAGACTGTGTGGTTACGTTGTGATCCACTCTGAGCTTGCTTTGCTTTGCTTGACTGGTTTTGTGACCTCTTGTTCTCTCCCACTTTGCCTATGGGGGTGGGTGAAGTTTATATGCTATAGTGTATATAGGCTATAGTGGGGTAGATACTATAGGGTACAACATTTCTAGGTTCCTAATTGCACCCACATTTTGCCTAGTCAATTCATTCCTCTTTTCTTCACATCACCTTCATCCACGCCTACTCTCGCTTTGTGTAGGTGGCCAACGTTTCACACAGGAGAAAGCTGTATGAGATCTTCAAAGTTTGGCACACCAACGCTGAAAGCCAGTCCAGCTGCACCCTCAAACTATGACAAACTGACTCCACAGCCGAGTTGGCAAGATGGAAGAAAGGAATCATCCGCAAACTCAAAAGCGACAAGATGGCGGCATACATATAGAAGAAAGGAATCATCCGCAAACTCTCCCTCCCTTACGCACTCCCCAGGAAGGCGTCACGGAACGCACCAACCACACTCTCATGACAAAAGTGTGCGCCCTCCTGCACGAGAGCAACATTGACGTGAAGTATTGGCCCTATGCCATGCATCACGCTGCCCGTCTCAACAATCTGCTCAGCACCACCACTAACACCAATAACGTCTCCCCGCATCTTAAGTTCACCGGCAACAAGGGCGACATTTCCATTCTCCACGTCTGGGGCTGCATGGTGCAGTATTGGCCCGCAACCGCAACTACCGGGAAATTTGAACGCCGCGCCCGCTGGGGCGTGCACCTCGGCATCAGCTTCGAACACCATGCCTGGACCATGACACCTCGCGAATCGTCGTGGCTCGCAACGTCATCTTCTACAAAGATCTCACCATCCGCAAGTTCCACTGCGACCTCCACACTGACCGCATTAGGGGAGAACATAACATCGCGAACCATGACCGCCCTCCGCGCACCTATGCCACCCCCGAAGACGAAGCCGAAGCAGCGCTCGCGGATCAAGATCCCACGGACCCCCACCCCGGACCTTGCCCATGGAGCAACGAGGACAAAGACGAGGACATCACACCTCTCAACTCCTCGCGCGACTCCCTTCTCAGCCCCACCCCTTTCAGCAGTCACAACTCTGACGATGACTTGGTCGAGATCACCAGCGAATAGCTGCATAGCCCCGGCCTCTCAAGACTTCACATCCTCAGCCTTCACACTGCTGTCTCCAACCCACCAAAGGCAGTTGAGCCCAAAACCTCGCCTCAAGCCCTCACCGGTCCCTATGTCAGGGTAGGGCAGGGCAATGGGCGCAGTGCAGCGTGTAGAGCAGCTCGCTAGGCAGCAAGCAGCTCGCAGCAGCAGGCAGCACGGCACTCAGGGCGGCAGCCGCTTGTAGGCAGAGTAGGCGCGTGCGAGCAGGGTGGCACAATGCAGTCCGAAGGCAATGCGGGTTGCGCAGGCAGGGTACGGGCAGCGCAGGATGCAGCAGCGGGAAGCTCGTAGTAGCACGGGCAGCAGGCAGCACAAGCAGCGCTGGCGGCGAGCGGTGCAGGGCAGCAGGGGCAGTGCGCGGGCAGCTCGCGGGTCGCCAGCGGAGTGCAGGGCAGGCGCTCGCGGACGTCGCAGAGCTGACACATGGGGCAGGGTAGGTGCGCGCGGGGCAGTGCGCAGGCAGCTCGCATGTAGGCGGCGCATGCAGCGCATGGGGCAGCGCGCGGGTCGCCGGCGGAGCGTAGGGAAGGCGCTTGCGGGCGGCGCAGAGCTGGCGCGTGAGGCAGGGCAGGTTCGCGCGGGGTAGTGCACAATCAGCGCAGGCAGCTAGCGGGTGGTGTGCGGATAGCAGGGGCAGTGCGCGGGCAGCTCGCGTGCACGCAGCACAGGCAACGCACGGGGCAGCGCGCAGGTCGCCGGCGGAGCGCAGGGCAGGTGCTCACGGGCAACGCAGGGCTGACGCGTGGGGCAGGGCAGGTGTGCACGGGGCAGTGTGCTATCAGCGCGGGCACCTCGCGACCTGCGTGCGGGCGCTAGGCAACGGGGCACGCGTGGGTACGGGGCAGCAGGGCGCGCATGGGCGTTGGGCAATGGGACGCGTGCGGGTGTTGGGTAGTGGGGCGCACGCGGGCATGGGGCAGGGCAGTGTACGATATTGATGGGCAGGGCAGGGCATGCCCGCGGGTGCCGGATCCATCAGATATTTTTTCCCATGTCTGATGTATCAGATATTTTAGAAATGCAGGTCTGACCAATCAAGGGCACTGTAAAATCTAGTTTCAGGTTTCTGGACGCAAGTGATTCGGACTGGACCAGTCGTGGCAGATTCACCCTGTCACAGCAGATTCGGCAAATTTGCACTTGCCGTGAAACAAGCAGATTTGCCACTCCACAACAATTTCGGCCCCCCTACACAACATATTCGCCCCCTGACACAACAGATTTGCTCCGGACACAAAAGTTTCGCCCCCGTGACACAACAGATTCGCCCACTGACACAAAAAAATCGCTCGCTAACACAACAGATTCACCCCGTCATAGAAGACCTCCCCCTTGACGCAGCAATTTTGCCCTTCCACAACAGATCGGGTTCTCCTTGTGCTGGAAATCCCCGTCATCTAGCTGTTTTGATTTCAGAAAAAAACATAAATGCATGTCTGATGAACTTGATGGAAAGGAAAAATCATTTGTGATCAACCAATTGAAATAATTACCAAGTTCTATAAAATCATATTATCTGGAAAAAATAGACAAAGATGTCTGATAGCGAGGACCCTGGGTTGACTAGAAGCATGAGATGAGCACAAGTACTAACCCTAACAAGGGTAGTATCCTATAAGGGCTACCCCACTATAGCCTACAACAAGATATGCAATATAATTAACAGTACATTCCCCTTAGGGCTGATCTAGATCGGAAATGCCAACCGTGCGGTTCAGTAACAATACGCGCCACGTGTACTGTTTGAATTGAATGCGTTTTTTTTGCTGGCACTTCGAATTCATTCTGCTTTCAATCGTCTTCGATAACTATTTTTGTCGTTCGGTCTTCATCCTTGCTGCAGTCATCTTCGCGTCAAAGATTCACTACTTTAGGAATGTTATTCAACAATTCCATATCGTAACAGGTCTTAGCCTAGTGTAAGCCATGAGGCCTGCCGTATCACATGGTTATTACTTTATAACGCGTATTTGAATGCATACATGTTTAAATTTGTGCACATTAGGCCCTCAAGTGGTACAAATCTTAACAAATAAAAATCAAAATTGTGGAAGACTTCACTTAACACAAGGGGCACATTTGTGTACTTACTATACGTTAAACCTAAACAGCATGACGTCCCCCTCTTGCACGACATACTCTTTGCCCTCAGCCTGCAGCTGCACATAAGCAGATAAAAATGCATTGAGCAACAGTGGGAGAAGAAAAGAATGCATGGAAATAGAAAAGCACACATGGTAGCAGGGAAACATGCATGGCAAGTTAGAAGCATGAATGGCAAGAGAGATGCATGTGCGTGCAAGTCGAGACGAAGTGGATTCAGTTGAGTTGACTCACGAGGCCTTTCTCCTTGGCAGCCGTGTACGACCCACTCACCACAAAGTCATCATATGATATCCACATGCACGCCCACCTGCACGTCCACATGCACGCCCACATGCATGCCTACATGCACGCCCACATGCATGCCCACATGCACGCCCACATGAATGCCCACATGTATGCCTACATGCATGCCCACATGCACGCCCACATGCATGCCCACATACATGCTTACATGCATGCCCACATACATACCCACATGCACGCGGAACAAGGTTAGCTTCCTCACGATACCAATGCTTGCACAAGTGGCCAATGCTGTGGTGGGCGAGGAAAATAGTGAGATGCGATGCAGCCACACGCAAGGGAATGTGGGCATAGCACATGCTGCTAGGAATCACTAGTGGTGGGTGCAAGACCATGTGGGATGGGGAGATAGAGCGAGGTACAACGAGAAGCAAGGCGGCGAGGTACAAGGAGAAGCAAGGCGGCGAGGTACAAGGAGAAGCAAGGCGGTGAGGTACAAGGAGAAACAAGGCGCCGAGGTACAAGGAGAAGCAAGGCAGCGAGGGGCGATGGAGCAAGGCGGGGAGGCAGAGAGGGAGGGAGGGAGGGAGGGGTGGGGGCGGTACGGTCTCAGTGCGGATGAAGCCGCGCTCAAAGTCGGTGTGGATCACACCCGCCGCGTGCAGTGCCATCATGCCCGCGCGGATTGTCCACGCCCTCGTCTCCTGCACGCATGCACGCACACATGCAGGGGGTGTGCGAGACATTCGGTATGGGGCATGGTAGGCATGGCGCATGGCAGGCGTGGGGCATGGCAGGCGTGGGGCATGGCAGGCGTGGGGCAAGGAAAGCCTTGATACTGTACACCACCATGGCCTCCTACCTACCACCATGGCCTCCTACCTACCACCCCTCGCAACTCCGTGTCCATTGCCCCTTGCAGTGCAACCCTCCTCCCTCATCTCTCCCCCTCTTTCACCCCCCCTCCCTCTCACCTTCTCCCTCGCAGTGAAGTAGGTGCGCAGTCCCAGCCGGCGGTAGGTGGCCTGCACAAGCCCTGCCAGCCCGCCCTGCTGCACGCCCAGCGCCGCCAGGTACTCGTCGCGGTACGCCTCGCCCAGCTCATACAGCTCCACCTCCACCTGCTATGGACCCCGTGCCCACAGTGAGGGAGGGTGCAGTGAGGGTGGGTACGGTGAGGGTGGGTAGAGTGGCAAGATGCGAATGGGGCAGTGGGAAGAAACAACGGAGCAATGGACCTGCGCGGAAACGACGACACACTCGGCGCCTTCACGCTACGTGGGGAAGCTAACAAGCTGATAGTTGTATGCACGAGAGCGGGGGCCATGTTGCAGCCGTTCCTTGAAGCTGCTAACATGCTGTGCTGTGTGCACGGCAGGGGAGGAGAGAGGGGGGCAGGGAGGAGGAGATTGAGGAAGGGGTTGGAGGGGGGTCGGCGGGTGACGATGGGTTGGGGGGGGAAGGGGAGGGGGCATCGGAAAAACAGGGGGGTTTGAGGAGTAGGTTTTGTTTCAGGTACTTGAAAATAGCTCGACACAAACTTACACCAGAGGTACCTTTCAGTTGATTTCAGCGTGGGCACTTCGGGAATCAGAGGGAGAACGACAGTGTAAGTTGGCGTGAAGCTTGCATGGACGATCTGTCCTGGATTTCGATTCATACCTATAAAAAAGCTGCTGCTACCGAAATGAGTCCGCTTCGTTTGGCTTTCCTGTGTTTGAATTCGATTGTTTCGCCTGATCAACATTTTCGCCTAGGATTCTACCTGCAGGAAACCCCGCTAAGGACCTCGTTTCTGTATAATGTACAATGTTTAGGTCTTATGTTGCTGGTTAGATTCTTTTGCAGAATTCCATCCTCTGATTCAATATGTACAATGAAAAAATAAGACTGCTTGGATTTCTGTGTAGGGTTATTTGCTGTAATTACTAGTTTCTTTTATAATTATCTGTGAATAGAAATATCATAACTTCAGTCGCTTGAATGTATTTATGTGTAAGGTCAACCTGCTCCGATACGTTTCTACCACCTGAGTAACTAAAAACTGTTCTCGCATCGTCGATCTAAAAGATGTCGGTAAGAATTTATTGCATTGTTCCAAGGCTAGCCTAGAACCTCACCAATATCTCATTCGTATTAACATACGGTATGTCAACTATTCAAGCTACACCGCTTCAAACGCCTTTAATTTTGAAGCGGTGTTCACACTGCTGTGTTGGTGGACTGCAGAAGATGAGACGATCCGAAAACCCCATGTAAATATTTCAGCCTGTCATGAAACGACAATCGCATGATTGTACTTAGTGTTGTTTGTTAAGTACAACAGTTATTCTAGGTCTGTTTCTTTCCACCAATAGGTACATTGAGGTGATACAAACAGATTAGCCAGGTTTCAGTGCTGATTTCCAAGGAGAATAGGTGCTGCGCGAATTTGCGTGTTTCAGCTTGTCACGGAACGACAATCAGCCTGACTGTAGCTAGTGCTGTTTGATCAGTACAACAGCATTTTTAGGTCTGTTTCTTTCCACCATTAGGTACATTGAGTTGATATGAACATATTAGCCAGGTTTCAGCACTAATCTCCGAGGAGAATAGGTGCTGCGCGAATTTGCGTGTTTCAGCCTGTCACGGAACGACGATTGGCCTCACTGTACTTAGTGCTCTTTGATCAGTACAACAGCCTTTTTAGGTCTGTTTCTTTCCACCAATAGGTACACTGAGGTGATATGAATATATTAGCCAGATTTCAGCACTAACCTCCAAGGAGAATAGGTGCTGCGCGAATTTGCGTGTTTAGGCCCGTCACGGAACGACGATCGGCCTCACTGTACTTAGTGCTGTTTGATTAGTACAACAGCTTTTTTAGGTCTGTTTCTTTCCACCAATAGGTACATTGAGGTGATATGAACAAATTAGCTAGGTTTCAGCACTTATCTCCAAGGAGAATAGGTGCTGTGCAAATTTGCGTGTTTCAGCCTGTCACGGAGCGACGATCGGCCTGAATGTAATTAGTGCTGTTTGATCAGTACAACAGCTTTTTTAGGTCTGTTTCTTTCCACCAATAGGTACGTTGAGGTGACATGAACATACCAACCAGGTTTTAGCACTAATCTCCAAGAAGAATATGTGCTGTGCTAATTAGCGTATTTGCACCGGCGTACATGATAACAAATCAAGCTCCAATGGTCCGAAGACTGTATATATAATGCATATATGTCTCAGAATTCTAGCAGGTAGGTTGTTTGTACATCATATACTTACGTTCAGTCCAATAGGGAGATAAAAATGTATCACGCTCTGTTCCCCTTCGTACTAACTTTATTTGTAACATGCTATACAGCCATTAAGTACAAATATGTCCAAATGTTTAATCACGACATGATTACAAAATCAAAACTTGTTACGTTATATGATATCTCAAAAACATTGAACATCCTTTTTTCAAATATGGACAGAATCAGTCATAAAACACATGCTGAGTTAGTGTTTGGTTGCTGTAGTAAGTTTTCACGTCTATTTGCAACCATTTGTGTTAATATTTAATGGTTTTGGGTTGTCGGTATCGGGTGTATTTCGAGATTGTTTTGTGACGGACTGTAATTCGATAATTGTGTATTGTGCAGTCGTGTTTCACAGCAGCGCTGTATCAACTGCCAGATTGGTCGAGCTGGCAATATTGCGCGGCCAGCAACGCTGTGTGAAAAGAATGAACAGGAATGAGAATGACTAAGGAAAGATTGGGTACAAATACAACCCTAGAAACCCTGTACCCCATATGTGCTACCCCACTATAGCCTACAAACATGCATCAGCTATAATACTCTGACACACCCCCATAGGCTAAGTGGGGGAGAACAAGGGGTCACAAGACCAGTCAAGCAAAGCAAAGCAAAGAAAGCTTAGGGTGGATCACAAAGTCACCACACAGTCCGAGCACAAGAGCAGGGCCAAAGGCCAGTTCACATGCAGGAGTACAGACATATATATAAAACTAGACAAGCAAGAGCAGGTATATATATATGTCACAGTACAAGTGAAGTCAAGAGGAGAGCAAGTGAGGCAAGACAGGTACAAGACCCAGCTGGGTGCAAAAGCGCTGATGGTCACAAGGCGCGAGTGCCTTGGTGAACACATCAGCAGTGTTGGCCTCAGAGGCCACGTACGCAAGTCGCAACTGACCACGCTGCTGCAGCTCACGAGCAAGGAAGTAGCGGAGAGCAATGTGCTTCGTTCTGTGCTCCAAGCGCTGCTCTCGACACAAGGCCAGCATGGCCTTGTTGTCTACGTACAGCACTGGAGGAGAACGAGGCGGCTCTCCAAGGTCAGTCAGCAGGTAGGTAAGCCAGCGAAGCTCCTGTGCAGCCATGGCCCCGGCGTAGATCTCAGCCTCACAACTGGAGCCGAGAACCGAAGACGAGCGAGTAGACCGCCACGAGACAGAGCCGGAACCAAGGCTGAAGGTGTAACCCTGTGACGACCGCTGCGTAGCCTGGTCGTCAGCCCAAGAAGCGTCCGCGTGGCCGGTAAGGACCACTGGACTCCGCCCTCCAAGCACTAGCCCCATGCCCGACGTACTGCACAGGTAGCGCAATACCCTCTTCGCTGCAGCCATGTGCTCCGGTCTGTGTCTCCCAGGAGCAACATAGCGTGCAAGAATGTTCAGAGGGTATGCAAGGTCAGGTCGTGTGCAGGTCATCAGGTACATGAGGCAGCCAACAAGCTCTGCATACGGACCACTCGACTCTACAGACTCATCCGAAGGCAGAGCTGAGAGTGAGTGGCGAGTAGGCAGAGGAGTGGCCTGAGGCGAGGAGTACGTGAAGCCGAAGCGCTGAAGGACCTGCTGCACCATGTGTGACTGAGTCAAGGTAATGGTGCGGCGTGCTCTGTCCCGAGTGATCTGCAAGCCAAGGTAGCTGCGCAGTTCACCCAGGTCTGTGCACGTGTGTCTCTTCTGCAGCTCGGACTTCACGTAGGCGATTCCAGCAGTGTCCGCTGTGGCAAAGACCAAGTCGTCGACGTACACGAGGATGTAAAACGGCGGCAGGGAAGTGTCGGTGCGAAGAAACAGCGACGGGTCAGCAGTAGAAGGAGCAAACCCAAGAGCCGCAAGCGTAGTCCTCAGTGTGTCGTGCCACTCACGCGGTGCCTGACGGAGACCGTAGACTGGCCGTCGAAGGCTCCACTGGGTGCCAGGAGGGAAAGTCCCAGTGAAGCCAGGTGGACGGCGAAGCCAGATCTCCTCGTGCAGGCTACCCTGCAAGAACGCAGTGCTGAAGTCGAGAGAGTGAAGCTCGTAGTCGTGCTGAGCGGCTATGTGCAGCAGCACCCGAAGAGTAGTCATCTTCGGGGTGGGAGAGAAGGTCTGAAAGTAGTCAACTCCCTGCCGCTGACTGAAGCCACGAGCAACGTACCGTGCCTTGAAGACAGGTGGAGAGCCCGGCGGCCGCTTCACCCTGAAGATCCACATGCCACTGACGATGTTCGCCCCAGGAGGGGGAACCGCGTCAACGTAGGTGCCTGTGGACTTCCAGGAAGCCATCTCTGCATCCATAGCTGCCTGCCACTGAGAGGAGTAGGGACCCTCTACGGCCTCCGCGTAAGAACGCGGAGTCGGGATGTCTAGTGCATTCGGGTCTCCCTCAGGGGCAAGCAGTACAGACGCGAGATGAGGTGAAGCAGCCGCTGGACACTGTAACTCCTCCTGCCTGTCCTCTAGGACGTCCGTGCCAAGAGCACACTCACCCCCGACGGACGGAGGACAGACAGACGCAGACTCAGCAACAAGACTAGCAGCGTAGTCGAGACGACAGCGAGCAGCAAAGTCGACGAGCTCAGCGACTAGAGCAGACGCAGCAGTGGACTCAAAAGAGGGGTCAGTGACGACAGTAGCAAGCAGACGCGTGACAGTAGGACTGGTAGCACGAAGAGAGTCCGACTCAGGGTCGGCAAGCGCAGGAAGAGAGGACTCAGGAGGAGAAGGCAAAGGGGCACGCAGAGGAGCAGTGGACGGACGCAAAGACATCCGGTGCGTGCCAGGGACAGGAGGAGGACGCTGACGCGAACTGCGACCACTAGCGCGAGCAGCACGAACAGGCGACGCGGGACGAGACGCAGGCTCACGATGCTCAGCAAGACCTCCAGTAGGACCAGTGTAAGGAGAGGGAGCAGGCAGTGGAGAGGAAGGCTCCAGCAGGGACTGCGACTGGACAGGCGGTGGACCCTCTACTAGAGGAGAAAGACCAAGAACCTGCTGCAGGAGCGGAACGAAGTACGGCCGAGGCCGCGCGGCAGCTCCAGACTCAGCAGGGACAGCACCAGCACCCTCAGCGACAGCACCAGCGCCACCCACACCTCCAGCGGCAGGACCAACAGCAGTAGGCTCAGCACCAACGCCCTCAGCAGCTCCAGCTCCAGGAGGACCCGCAGGTCCAGCAGCTCCGGGACCGGTAGCATCCGCACCCTCGACGGTCGA